AAGTAATTTTATGCAGTCACGAAAGCTTTAATACTTTATTACGTTTCAAGATGTTGAAACAGCAAATATATACCTTTTGCAAGGAATCGAGTCTGCATGGGACGTGATGTGACGTCATCGTCGCGCTTGTGCCAGAATATAATGCACTTTTAAGCATTGAAGGTTTCCTGGCGAGGAGTCAGACACAGGTATTATGGGTAATTGACCGAGATAGACGGCTGATAATATTTACCACCTGTGCTCCCCACCGATGCTTTGCTCGTTTCTCTTTCGCATCACGCCTTCAAATCAAAATAACTTTAACCGTTTGGATAGCTACCGTCTTAGTGCTGCGTGGAAGCGAATCATCAAATAATAAATTATTTAAATGCATGCCTACGAAGGGCAACGTACTTCAATAGTGATTACCGTTGGTAGGGCTATTTTAATAAACACAATAGACAGGAAGGACAAGTTCAAAGGGCTCGCATAATGCACACGCATAATACTCTTTGGTTCTATTCGGTAAAGTCACGTAGGTAAAAAAAAAATTCACGACGTTTCGGCCACAACACAAGCGGCCTTCATCAGGTGAAGGGACCAGCCTGTCTCGAAGACTGCGCTGGAGTGAAACAGAGCCAAGCTCAGACTGCGACCTTTAAGCTGTGTGAGAGGGATTAAGGTGCCTCGACAAAGGAATTAGCATATAAAAAAATAGCATTTGATTGGCGGACTTAGCATGATGAAAGGTGTAGCTCGCGGCAGTGCACCTTTAAGCCGTGTGAGAGGGATTAAGGTGCCTTGACAAAGGAATTAGCGTAAAAATTAGCATTTGATTGGTGGCCTTATCATGATGAAAGGTGTAGCACAGTGATCGGCACCGGCAGTGCACCAGCCTGTGCTGCGAAAGTTTGGGGTACCACTACTTGAAAAAATATACTGTACCAATGAAAATGAGTTTGATGTTTAGTTCGATTTAGAACATCTTTCCAATGGTTGCTTAATTTGAAACCATCTTTTCGGTTTAAATTGTGTCTGTGTTTGTAGATCCGAATTGCCTCGTGAACAAATCTCTGATAAAAACCTGTGGGTTTGCAAAGAACCTTGGTATCGGAGAAAATTATATCGTGATCACCCACAGCGTTGTAACAGTGATCAGCCACGGCAGAAGAATTCGTTCTGCCGTGTTTCAAATCTGATTTGTGCTCGCGAATTCGGTCAGAGACATGTCGCTTCGTTTCCCCGATATAGCAATCACCGCAGGTACAACTCAATTTGTAAACCCCGGGGTACTGTAAATCAGGAATGACATCCTTCACGGATGGGATCAGATCACGAATTTTATGTACTGTATTGAACCGGACCTGGATCTTGTGTTTGTTTAGAATTTTGGAGATATTTTTCATAACGCCTGCTATATATGGTAGTGTGATGGTTTTGACCGGAGTATCAAGTGGTTGTTTCTGTATGGAGGGAGAAACAGCTTGGCGGATGGTACGGTCAGAGTATCCATTCCTTTTGAGGGCCAGGTGTACATGTTTTAATTCACTGGTCAGGTGGTGTTGGTCCGAAATGCAATGAGCCCTATGGTATAAAGTTTTGATGAGAGAATTCTGTTGGGCTGGGTGGTGGTGGGAATCAGGCTTCAAGTAGGAATCTGTGTGGGTGGGTTTCCTGTAGACAGAATGCCCCAATGAGCCTTCAGGTCTCCTCTCAAACAGAACATCAAAGAATGGTAGCTTGCCATTTTTCTCCACTTCCATGGTGAATTTGATGGCGGGATGTCTGGAATTGATGTGGTGTAGGAAAAGGTTCAGAGCTGGGAGGCCATGTGGCCAAATGACGAAAGTGTCATCCACATATCTCTTCCACATGGAAGGTCTGAGGATGGAAGTCTGGATGGTGTCCGATTCAAATTTCTCCATGAAAACATTGGCTATCACTGGTGACAAGGGGGGACCCATGGGAGTACCCTCATTTTGCTTGTAGAAGGAACCATTCCAAGTGAAGTAAGTGTTGGTGAGACAGTGCCTGACCAGCGTAGGTACCTCAGGGTTTAGTCCATGTTGTACCAAATCTTCAATTATATCAATGGTATCAGGTACCGGGACTTTGGTGAACAAGGAGACCACATCGAAGCTGACAAGGATATCGTCAGGGGACAGTACAACGTCTTTGACCATAGAAACCAATTGGGCTGAGTTAAGTACTGCTGAGGAGGTCTTGCCAGTGAAAGGTAGCAAGGTATCCGACAGAAAACGTGCTAGCTTATAGGTAGGGGAGTTGATCGTGGATACGATGGGTCGTAGTGGAGTGACTTCTTTATGAATCTTTGGAAGACCATAGAATCTAGGGGGTCTTGCAGCAGAAGGTTTTAGGGAGGGACGTTTAGTTGGTTCAATTTGGGAGGTCGAACTTGTGATGATCTTGTTGGTTTTCATAGTTAGGCTACTAGTAGAGTCATTTTTAATTTTTGAGTAACTACCATAATTGAGAAGGTCCTGAATTTTATTGTTGTATGAGTTTTTATCCATAATTATAGTGGCATTGCCCTTGTCGGCTGAGAGGATGACTATATCATGTCTCTCTTTTAATTTCGTGAGTTCAGAGCGTTCATCTTTGCTGATGTTGCTAACGGGTTTCTTAGCATTCTTAAGAATAGTAGCTATTTCAGCTCTCGCGACCTCTGCTTGGATGTGTCCTATATCTTTGAGGGCTACATCGACCTGAGAAATGATATCATCTATCGGTATATGTTTTGGGGTGACAGCGAAATTTAGTCCTTTAGCCAATACTGTTTTAAGATTGTCCGAAATCGGGGTGCTACTCTGATTGATAACAATTTTGTTAGCGTCTAGTTTTGTGATCTGTGGAACCGGGTTTTTCTTTGATAGGTGGTTGAATTTAGCAATTAGGTTAGCTTTGCATTTGATTGAAAGTGAATCGGCAGATGAAGCAGTCATGTTGTCTACGTGGTTCCAATCAGAAGGAGACATTTTTTGTGTTAACGTTAAATGAGCTTGTAGGAGAGCCCTGTCTAAAGTATCGAGTTCAAAACGGAGTAGTCTTATCCTCTCTGAGATTAAAGCGAGGCTGGCCTTAAACAGAATCTGTTTAGAGTTCGGTGAGGACACAGCAGCAGAAGTGAGTGTTAAGGCGATGGGCATTACCTTGTGGTCGCGGCATCTTTTGAGGAAGGTCAGCATCTCGATGAGCTGTGACTTCTTGTCCCGTTGTCTGTTAAAAGCTCTAACAGATAGGTGAAAACCCTCCCCGTAGAGGCTATCAATTCTAGATTTGAAGCCTTCGTGACTGTAAGGATCCATACTCGTTGGTTCTATTCGGTAAAGTCACGTAGGTAAAAAAAAAAATCACGACGTTTCGGCCACAACACAAGCGGCCTTCATCAGGTGAAGGGACCAGCCTGTCTCGAAGACTGCGCTGGAGTGAAACAGAGCCAAGCTCAGACTGCGACCTTTAAGCTGTGTGAGAGGGATTAAGGTGCCTCGACAAAGAGATTAGCATTTGATTGGCGGACTTAGCATGATGAAAGGTGTAGAACGCGGCAGTGCACCTTTAAGCTGTGTGAGAGGGATTAAGGTGCCTTGACAAAGGAATTAGCGTAAAAAATAGCATTTGATTGAGTTGTACCTGCGGTGATTGCTATTTTGGGGAGACGAAGCGACATGTCTTTGACCGAATTCGCGAGCACAAATCAGATTTGAAACACGGCAGAACGAATTCTTCTGCCGTGGCTGATCACTGTTACAACGCTGTGGGTGATCACGATATAATTTTCTCCGATACCAAGGTTCTTTGCAAACCCACAGGTTTTTTCAGAGATTTGTTCACGAGGCAATTCAGATCTACAAACACAGACACAATTTCAACCGAGAAGATGGTTTCAAATTAAGCAACCATTGGAAAGATGTTCTAAATCGAACTAAACATTAAACTAATTTTCATTGGTACAGTATATTTTTTCAAGTAGTGGTACCCCAAACTTTCGCAGCACAGGCTGGTGCACTGCCCGTGCCGATCACTGTGCTACACCTTTCATCATGATTAGTCCGCCAATCAAATGCTAATTTTTACGCTAATTCCTTTGTCAAGGCACCTTAATCCCTCTCACACAGCTTAAAGGTGCACTGCCGCGTGCTACACCTTTCATCATGCTAAGTCCGCCAATCAAATGCTAATTTTTTTATGCTAATTCCTTTGTCGAGGCACCTTAATCCCTCTCACACAGCTTAAAGGTCGCAGTCTGAGCTTGGCTCTGTTTCACTCCAGCGCAGTCTTCGAGACAGGCTGGTCCCTTCACCTGATGAAGGCCGCTTGTGTTGTGGCCGAAACGTCGTGATTTTTTCTTTTTTTTGTTTTTTTACCTACGTGACTTTACCGAATAGAACCAAAGCATATGGATCCTTGCAGTCACCAAAGCTTCAAATCTAGAACACATGCATAATTTACGTTGCCTCAGCATACCCCCTCCCCCCACACATTGTGCAAGAGCGCAACTGCGTGGTCACCACATCTACGCCTCTGTATAAGGAACGAAACAGGCGGACATCTCCACAAATCTGGCTGTCGCCTGATGAAGCTAGTTGAAATTACTGGCGAAACGTCGTACTCAATTTGTAAATGTTGTAGCTTGGCTCTCCAACACACCGGTGTGCTGTACGAGTAACGAATTGGCACGTTCTGTTTACGTGACGAATCTTACTAATCGGCTGTGTTGGGTGGTGGCGGGTCTTAACGACACATGTATATATATGCGATCTAACCCAAAAACCTCTATTTTGCTTTCATTGTTGTTGGAAAGCGACTTGTTTCCAACTGCCCAGTAGCGTCCCTCATGGGCCTCCTCCACACACAGGGGCCGGTCTTGATTCCGCCGGTACCAGTCATCGGCAAGTCCAGTCAGCTCCACATCCTGAACCACATCAGCCTTTCTCCTCTCTCGCTCATGTGATGCCCGAGCACATGCCCACTCAAGGAAATGCCAATATCTGTGTGTACAGTTCTGTGTAGGCGGTGGCGGTTACGTGCCTCAGGAATCCCCGAAGGAATGCGGTGACTTTGGTGCCTTCGACTGGAGCGGCTATGGGACAGGTGTGGAATGGAGCGCATCAAAGAAGCTGCTGGAATCCGCCATCCTCATCTACTACCGTTAATCTGCCACCTGAAAAGCGCCCCGTGAGCAACTAAAGTGAATTTATTTACAAAAAATTGACAGACATAAGGTTACTGCTAGGGTAGGAGCAGGGGACCTCCCTGACTGGCGGGCCGAATGTTGCTTACGACTCAATTTCATACGGCCCACAGTCGGAAGACCCAAACAATATGTATCCATTACTGACATCATCTTTGCTGCACTAATCGGCGCATGAGAATGAAATATTTTCTTTTACAGATATGTTTCGTATATTTAGAGTGCCCAGTTACTTTCCTCAATGTAAGGGCCTCATTTTGCTCTATCGACACGCACATTAATTTTTCAGTCATTATTAGAAAATGCTAAGGTTTATGTTAATGTGTGGTCTGCCAGAGATGATTTAAAGTCCTATTCGATCGTCCATAAAGAACGTATACCCCATCCCTTATACTCCGGATTGGTCATCCAGTTATGGTCAGGATGAGTAGATTGTCCTCTCTTCTAACAATTTGTATCCACCCCAACCCAGACCCATAGTCATTATTGCCGAGTCTGGCATTTTCACTTGTTGTTCACTTTTCACTTTGTGTTTTAAAGAATTACCAAATAATAATAAATAGCCGAGGCAATTGAATATTTTATTTCTGGGACACTATTTTTTTCCAGGGTGCACTTCACTCCGCGACTGGGGTACCAATCAATCCGAAATCAATGCTTCTCCGCAATGTCGAAACGCTAAACATCAGCATAAAAAATCCTTATCGAAATTTTTTACTTTCAATAGTGCATCGTGTCAGCTCGTCGAGATGAGTCGATTGCCGCATCGCCGACCATCAACAGGCTAAAAGTGACTGCTTCACGGACATTATGCGAGAGCCGGGGTGCTATGGTACCCCGGGGTACCGCCATAAGGTTCATTTTAAGAACACTACTTTCAGCGGTTTCAGATCTCCCACAAAAATAAAAAACAAATCCCAAATTTGGCCCACAAAGGGGGCGAAGGGGGTCAGTGGCGTAGCCATCGATTCTGCAGGAAGTGCAACTGCACCAGGGCCCACACAGGAGAGGATCGCTCAGGCGGCAGGTCATGAAGAGGGGAGGAACTGGACAGGGTGCCCCATTTCATTACCTGGGCCCAGTGCCCAGGTAATGAAATGTTGCCCACACGATCCAGCTGCGATGACAAGGTTACGTCAATGCTCTCTCTCCCCTTGTCATTCGGGGGGGGGGGATGATATGGCCTAGCGGTAGCACGCTCTCCACCTCATTCAGATGTCCACGGTTCGAATGCAGCGGCCACCCCTGATTAATACTGAGGGTGAGATAATTATAAGAATCATCATATGCGCCATCAGCTTTGGAGTGGACGTTCCAGATCCCCTTACATCATCATTCACAAGACTAGGCCATTGGGTGCCAGTTTTAAGATCCACATTTTCTTATCATGAAACTAATCTGCAACTTACTCCATTGGGATTAAACGTAAGCAATCGGCCCCAAACTGGCAGACTAATGCCCGTTTGCAGGCCAGGTACCGGGTCACCTTGTGCCAACAGGGCCAGCTGCTACTGGGGCTGCCCTGTCGAATGTGTTGAGATGAGATGTGACGTGAAAGGAGGGCGCTATTATAAACAAAAACAAATTAATCCTACAATTACTCTACATTCACTTGTTCTACTCTATATTCACATGTTGTACTTAAGAGCAGAGATCCTTGCATATTCCTACAATACCCTTATATCTCAAGTAACACTTTTATCTCACGTTACAGTCCAACTGATATATTCGTTACATTATACATGCTGCACTATTTCTTTAATTAATTTGCCATGTCTACATATTTGAATGCCTCAATAGTATGCCCCGTACAGCATTGGTCAACTTATTCCTGGCCTTAGCCCAGTATCTGTGAATCCCTTAAGGTCACTGCTCTTGACGAATTTTCAGGAGGGTGGTGGGGGGGTATCACTTACGCTGATAAGACATCGTCAGTGTAAGGGTGCCGCCACACATTTGAAACCATTGGGGGGTTTGACAGCAGCACGATCAAGATGATGGGGAAGGGGGGGTTCACATTCTTGTACTGTGGTGGGGGCCGCACGTCAGGGGCCGCACTAAAGGCCACCAGGGGCCACCGGTTGGCCCCGCGTGGGCCTTGCAATGAAGAGCCACTTGCCGAAAGAGAGAGGCAGCAGACGTCCTCCTGTGGTTAGATTGAGGAGATGCTACTCTGCCTCAAAAGAGTCGAACTAATCCTCTCCAGGTAAATAGGCCTGACAAGCCTTGGCAATTGACCTCGTGGTTAGTTAGCCAATCGAAATCCAGCACCGTTTCTGTTAATGGCCACGTGCTTCCTCACTTCAAAGTTAATCGAAAATCCACGCTTATTTTTGCTTTGAAGACAGACAAAACTTGATGAAAAAATTTTGTTCAATGATAGAAAAAAAACAGTTACCGCTTTCTGTCAGAAGAGGGAGATACGTCCCCTTAACTGTTGAATCCTCATCCGCACTTTGCTTTTAATCAGCTCAACAATCCACGTGGAAGATTGAAAACCCCTTTTAGCTAAACCTGCACCGTATTCTGCCAAACTGCGTAATGCATACCTGTCAACCCTTTATCAGCGCCTAGCTTATTACAGACCAATTCAGACCTTGTTGGTCACCCCGTGCCCTTATAAATCTTAAAGCTCATCCTACAAAGTCCCATCACAAGGGAGAAACACAAAGTAAAAACATTTGGATTTTTTTCGCCCGTTTTTGAAACGACTGTACGCCGTGTGGACCTGAAAACTCAATTTTCCTGATCAAAAGAATTCGGGGTAAAACCGCGTGTGTTGACACGGTACGGTCATGGGAAAACCCCACCGTGTCTAGCATGCTCCCTGTTAAATGTCTCTCAGCGAGCGAGATGAGGAAATATGTGACACCAAACTTGATTTGAAGCTTTCGTGACTGCAGGAATTACTCTTTGGTTCTTTTGGTAAAGTCACGTGGAAAGAAAATAAATTAAATAATAGAATACGCCGTTTCGATTGCAACACAAGCAATCGTCATGAGGTATAGAACAAACCTAGTGAATTTTGATTTAAAGCTTTCCTGACTGCAGTAATTCATATTCTTAGTTTTATCGGTAAAGTCACGTTGAAGAGAAACAACAAAATAATAAAATATATATAAAACAATAAAAAATTCTCACGACGTTTCGACCATAACTCAAACGGTCATCTTCAGGTGTGTGACCGTTTGAGTTATGGTCGAAACGTCGTGAGAATTTTTTATTGTTTTATATATATTTTATTATTTTGTTGTTTCTCTTCAACGTGACTTTACCGAAAAAACTAAGAATATAAACCTAGTGAACTTATAGAGAGACAAAATCACAGACACGGAGACACACAGACAGACACACTAGCAGAGAGAGACAACACAGAGACACACAGAAAGAGACACACAACATAGACACACAGAGACCCAACGCCTGTGTCGAGGCCTTAAATATAGAGAGAGGGGGGGGGTGCAGAGAGAGAGGTGGGTCCGCTGGCGTGGAGTAATTAGCATGTCAATTAGAGAGCTGTGTGGAAATGTGAAACCATTTCTTTTTTTAATAAATGTTCACTCTTTGCCTAATGCAAGTCAACAATCTACCTAGGAGTATAACTGTGGATATTCAACGTTGGATCCCAACGTGGAATGTCTGAATCTCTTAATTTGAGGGATATATAAACAACGCGCTTTTATTTGTGCCAGGCGATATTAATAGGCGGCTTCATAAGCGAACAACTAATAAACGATGCTCCATTTTTAGACGATTCATCTCCTTTTGATTGCGTGGAGTTTGTGGCTTTAGCTATTTGCTGATCATTTCTACTCTTATACAAAATACAACCCGTGCTAATAAAACGCATGCCAATTTATGTACGTGTACTGACATTTATTGCCGTAGGAACGACATTTTCAACACTTTCTAACCTCCGGTTGAAACCAATAATTGCATATGTTCATTGAAATCTACATTGAAAACTCATTTATTTGGAACGGATTTTTTGCGTTCAATTTTGTTGGCATTCCACCGCACCCCTCCGATTACCACGGTTGGCTACGTACGGTGCAAAAGAAGTTCAACAAACATAGATTTGAGGTTTTGTGGTGTTAGTAACATGGAATCCACAGCCAGCTACCGCTAAAGTCTTCTTAAAGTACCATGTCATAGAGAGATTACAATGCTAATCATCGATTTTCAAAGTTGTCGTCGGTATATTTTCACGATAGGAAGTGCCCATTCGTATATGTTGCGTGTTAAAGAAAGAATGGCTCGTGGAAGCATATATCACTGAGCCACCTCTGAGATCCCTGAAAGTGACCTCTGTTTCACTCAGTAGGGGGCAGCTCTATCCCTCCTGCGCAGTCACTCAAGAGTACCGTGTGATGCTCGGTGCGTGACAGTAACGCTGACATTTAATTTGCTAGCTGGAGTTTAGCCAAATTAATAGAATAGTTAAGGTTAATGCGATTTGTTTGTTTTTGTGTGCAGATAGACAGAAACCATAAACTCCCTGCCCTTGAGAACCTGGTTAAACCTCAAGTACATGCCACCAGCCTGTATGTGAACTCCAGATCTCAGATCGTGCCAGCTCCACGCCGACATCAAAGCCACCCACTCGCCACTTCTTATTACAAATCACTGTTGCAACTATGTCGAAACTATACAACGTAGAGTGGTGCCATTAACAAAAGAGTAGACGCTTGACGATAACAAAAGGCTTTGAATTCACGCACTTTTGATGCCTGGTTACGCAATGGCACCTTCACTAACTGCATGGAACGCTGCCGCGGTGGAATCGATTACCGCGCCAGACTTGCGACTGACCCAGAGGTCGCCGATTTGATCTCAGTTGAAGCGAGTTTCTTGAATCCTCCGGTGCCTCCATCCACCCAAGGGGTATGAAATGCGCACACCGCAGTTAGTCGATCGACCGGGTTTCATGTGGTGGGGGGCTAAAGTGCGGGTACTCTCGCCTACGTTTAATACGTCTGGCCCGCGTGGAAGAGTAGGCCAAGAACCCTCAATAGCGGCTCTATAGAGAGCTCCCTCTGGTGGAGGCCCGTCCGCTCAGCAGTGGCGTGACAAAGAAATGGCAGTGCTGCGCATTTATCTCATAACCGTGTAAATAACCAAACCCAAAAACAGATGCCCATTGTAAGTTATATGAACACATTAACACTCCCCACTCATACCTCTGGTCCTCGCACCTGATTGGCTCACAGGTGACGACATCACATTTTACCGCTCCACTGAAGACCGAAACAGGAGGAGGATTTATCCGCGACTCTGTGGCCATCACCTGATGATGCTGGTTGTTGTTGTTGTAATTACCGGCGAGACGTCACGGTAATCGATATGTAAATGTTGTGGTGGGTTTACTCTCCCAACACACAACCGGTGACTGCTCAACTAGTAACTAATTGGACACGTTTTGTTGACGTGACAAACCTCACTAGGTGGCCGTGTCGGGTGGTGGCGACGTTTAATGAGCCTAGGCAGAACATTGCAATAGAAGGGACGTTGGCAGATGGTCACGAATGAAGACAGAGTAACAGCCATCTCGTCTTGTCGTAATTTACATAGCGCCTTGAGTAAGGCGCATCTACGGAGCATCAACAACGGTATGTTTGAACGTAATGGTGAAGACGAGGTGAATACAATAAGACGAGAGGAAGTGATGGGCGGACCGGTGACGCGTGAATTAAGTCAAATCTTTTTTACACGAGAGCAAATGACGATGAATCCATTGGATGGACGGGGAATGAGTGGTCGCCATGGAGAGATAATATGAAAGAAGAACAGTAACGGTAGTGGTTAGAATGGGGAGAGATTAGGGGGTCTTGGGATGAACGAGGGGTAATCCACTGAGGAAATACCCCTCAACGACCACCCCTGTTAATGACTAATCACTTAACGACAGGCCTCCATACAGCCCAATGTGGAGTGTATAGTAGTGGAGTGTATAGTAGCGTAGTATAATCTTTGGTTTTTTCGGTAAAGTCACGTAGGTATAAAATAAAATAAAATAAAAATTAAATCACGACGTTTCGGAAGCAACACAAGCGTCCGTCATCAGGTGGGACAGCCACAGCAAGAAACAAATTGCTGTAGTGGGCAAAAGAGCTGCTTGTGACAAGAGATTATATAAGGTGAGAGGGGGGGAGGAGCCAGGGAGGAGAGATGAAGAAGGTGGGGGAGTGGCGATTTGCCGACTGAGCAATTGACGCTGCTAGAGCGACAAAATGCCGGAGCTGGGCAATGAGCGGGCCTGGGGGGTAGAAGGCTGAAGAAAATGGAGATGCGGATATGAATATAAAATATAACGCCATTAAGATTTTACCTGGTTAATAACATCCTTCCAATGATTGCTCAATTTGAATCCATCTTCTCGGTTGAAAGACCTTTAACATACATGACACTATACACTACAGTATACACAACAAAGTACACTATAGACTACAGTACACGCTACACAACTATACACTACACTCGGACACACTACATTATTATTACAAAATATACTATACTACAATACACTACTATACACTACACCACGATACTAAATTGAAAACTAATTTCTTTAGAACTGCTCTTTGTGTTTACTTTCTTGTCTTTCCCCTGCACCTCTGATTAGAGTGGTTGGCTACGTACGGTGCGAAAGAAGTTCAACATACATAATTATTCGTAGTGTGCTGTGCGTTATAAGCAATATAGATTATAAGGTTGTAATGATTGGAGCAGCGAAGAGCAAAAACAATAAACTAAACATCTGAATACAATGACAAAATGACTGCAAATTGATATCGCGATAACTGTCACGAAACATTTGTTCTCGTGTTGTTTGATAAAAAAATTATATCATGGCACACACTAGTGATGGCACTTGGGCTTGATTGACATCGTCACCATGTAAGGGCG